ATACCTGTGCACTTCCTGTTTGTCTCTTGGCCCAGGCCCAGCCTCTGTCTTAAGAGTCCCCCAACTCCAGGTTCTTCTGTCTCCTGTCCCCCTTAGTGGGCATCGAGGTGGGTCACTGACAAAATTCTGGTTAGTTGGGGGAAAGCTCAAGGTGGGCAGAGGTCAGCCATAGGCTAAGTCATCCTCCGGCCCTGTGTCTTCTGGAATAATTTCTGGATATTTGGGCAGGGGAGAGATGAAGGGGGCAGAATCAGGAGAGGAGGTGAGGTAGGGGCAAACATGGGGAAAGGAGGGAGGGGGTATTCATGGCCTATAGACCATATACATGTGTATACATCACAGGGAGCAGCCACCAGCACATGGACACACATGGACACAGATGAGCAAGCTTGACATTGAACAATCACCAATTGGCTGAGCACTTACTTTGTGCTGTTCTAGACCTGGAAATACAGTGATGATAGAGACCTGCCTTCACCCTTGACCGTCTGGTGAACAAGACACACAGCAAAATAAGAATAAATTCCAAGAGTAATCAATGAAATGCTAAAACAGAGAGAGGCGGTAAGATGGCTGGAGGGGGCAGGCTACTTTAAATAGTGTAGTCAGGAAGGTCTCTCCCAGAAGGTGACATTGGAGCTGAGACTTCAGGAAAGGGAAGGAGATAGCTCTGCAAAGATTTGGAAAAACAGCCGTTCAGGTGCAGGGGTACAGCAAATGCAGAGGGAAGACGGAGCTCGCTTTTTACATTTGATATTATTTAGGAGACCGGTGTGGCTGGAATGCAACGAACAAGGAGCTAAGTGGAGCTAAGCCAGTGAGGTCGGCTGGGGTGAGACAATGCAGGAACTGGTGGACCTCAAATTTTCAGCTCAGTGGGATGGAATAGGAACTACGGAATGGTTTTAAGAGAGGGAGGGGCACATCTGGGTTGTGGTTTAAAAAGATGTCAGGCAACAGTGGAAGCAGTGAGGATCTCCGTGTTGCAAAGGAAACACGTTTAGAGGAGCACACCCAGGTACACGGACACGCATGATGCACAGCGATCCAATCAGGCATTCGGCGACCCATTCTATGTCCGCCGTCGCGCGTGGACAGACACCCAGATCCTCCCTGCGTGCAGGTGACCCCACCTGGAAAAGAGAGGACTCCTCACCCGAATAATCCCTGGTCCTAGATCCGCCCGGGGCCCTTCACTCACCTGGGTCGGGACCCACGGAGCTCCCAAGAGGCTGGGGCCGGACTCAAGTTTGAAGTTCTACGGTTCCGGGCCCTTTCCACCGGGCCAGGTGAGAACCTAGCCCAATCACCAGGCCCTGGCCCTTAAGACCCCGCCCCTTTCGGACCCCGCCTCCAACTGGAATCTCCTAGGCTTTCGCCCCGCCCACTCATTCCAGCCCCGCCCCCTTAGAACCTTTCTTTGCACTAACCACGCCCTCTTTGAATAATACTGTGCCTCCTTCAGAGCCACACCAGCTGGGAAACTCCGCTCTTCCTTAAGGGGGCCGGTCCCCTAGCATCGCCCCGCCCTCCCCTGACTGGCCACGCCCACTCACCTCTCGGTCGCCCTGGGTCCCTCTTCTGAGAATCCGGCTCCTCTGTTGCCCTCAGGCTGGCTGGCCCTAGGACCCCTGGCCCCTCGGGACGCGGAGGGGGTGTCGCTCTCGCTCCTCAGGGTTCCGGGAAGGGGCGGGGCGGCCCCTATGAGTCTTCTTTCTCGGGTGGGGTGGCGGCGCTGTGACGTGGGAGGGTGCACTTCCTCGAGACCGCCCCCTTGGGTTTCCGGGAGTGGAACCCCGGCTGAGTATTGGGTTTTGTGGAGAGATGCGGGGAAGCACGCAGCCTCCCCAGTGACAGCACGACGGAGCTAGACTCTGAAGAGACATGGGGGGGGGGGGGGCGGGTGGTCTTTTGGGTGGGGGGGGGAGGGGGGGGGTCCTCCCATCACGATGCCTGGGGACAAACATTAAAAAGGTGTTGGGATCGGGTATAAAAAAAAAAACCCCCATCCCCCTTTATGGAGGGGAAGGATGGGAGGGAAAGAGGGAGGAAGGAAGAATGTAGGATGGAAGGAGGGAGGACAAAAAGGGGGGTGTGTCGCACTTAAAAGTTACCCCGGCACCTGGGTTGTATTGCCAGGAATTGTATTGGCTGCTTGACCGGGCCTCAAAGCGGTTTTTACTTTTTCGCCTAAGGGGAAAGCCACCTGAGAAGGGGGGGGGGGGCTATATTTTTCTTC